GAACCGGGTTATTTCAGCAGTAATATGTCTTGGCGCGTATGGTTGAAATTTTCGCACGGAATTATTCAGACGGTGGGATTGCTAAAACGGGGACCGTCTCGTGCGAGTTAACTCGAAAGAGAGTCCAACGGCATTTCACCTAATGCTGGGAAACTTGAATGCGCCATTGCGATTCCTCTTGCATCTAGATAACTACGCCTAATGCTGGGAAACTTGAATGCGCCATTGCGATTCTTCTTGCATCTAGATAACTACGGAACTAGAAATGTGCGCACCGTATACAAAAGATATGGATACTACGTGCGTTATAACGACGTACAATGTTATATTGTTAGAGAATCCAAGATTATGCTTGTCTTGTAATATTTCCTAAGAGGAGTTGAGGAAAACTAATGAAGTAGAAAATTTATGAAAAGTCATCCATTCTCCTGTTTTCTATTTCTTTACGATATAGTGTATGCAGTTGGAAATATTTAATTTACAAACCATTATTAATAAAATCGTATTTACTCTCTATTACGCATTATTTTATCAAAAATAAACATATCTCTTTCGAGATATTGAATTAATTATTAAATGTAATTTTAGAACTGGCTAATTTCAAAAACAATTTCTTAATAATTTACTTTATCCTCAAAATTGACGCGATTTTGGGACAGCGATCTATCTTCCTTTTGAATGACAGCTATGATTTAGCTGAGTCAAAAATTTATGTATAGAGAATTGCCAGACCGACCGTATGTGTGCGCGCGACTCTCGGGCATAACGTTCCGTAGTTCCGCGATAATATAATATATGTGTTGTCGCAACGGTGCGAACACAATACAATTGCGCGGCCATCCGTTCGGAATGAAACTATGGGGGGAAGGTAGAAACGCGCGATAGAGGAGGAGATGGTGGAGGCGGAGAAGACTGCACGGTAGAAATGCAGATTCCCGTGTCCCAGGTGATCTCTTGCGCGCGTCCAAAAGCTCACGCGAATTGCGCGCACGTTTTTCAACTCGATGAGTAACCGGGTCCGGTTAATTAAGCAGATATATTCGTTTATCGCGGGACAAAGCGACCACGACCGGAACCGCGACATTGTCCGCGAATTATTCACTTTTCGCGTCTAATTGTGCACGGGATTGTTATCAAATCATACTCCGCTTTCGGTCGGACACAAACTTTTAACGAGAGAAAAAAAAAAAAGAGAGAAGTGATATCGTCAAAGCTTGATGAAACAACATTACATGATTACACCGCGCCCGAGTTTGTATTTCGCGATAGTTTTATAGTAACACAAGGAATTGCTGATAAAACGCCAAGAATAATCAATTTTGAAAATATTCTTTTTATCGTAAAACTATGGATTTTTTTATTGATTTAGCATAACATCGCAACATTTTATCTACATCTCGTTCTTTGTATTTTCTCAGATGATATCTTCAGCTGATATATAAAAATAATGGAAATTATTTGAAAATATCTGCAATAAAGTTTAGATAATAACTCTACAACAGTTTCACTCCAATTTACAATACATACAGATATGTATGTAGTTATTGTTAAGTTGTTAGCTTGTCGTTATTGTAGCCGCAGAAAAACATTGAATATAAAATTGAATAAAATAATAGATTGTCATGAATAATTGTAGGGTAACTCGAGAATATAAAAATTATTAGGAGATTCGTTAAATATAAAGCTCTAATTCAATTCACTATAACAAGTGTAATTCATTTCCTTCTCGCACAGAGATATATCGGTTTCTCGAATTTACGAGCAATGTATGAGAACAGCATTCTCGCACTGTCGAAGGTAAAATACAGGGAGAAGTCGCGCGAAACTAACCAGATTTATATCAACGTCATTGTCGATAATTAATTTTTTTACACGGGATTTATAGACGTTACTTTTTTTTATATATACGATATTGCGCGAGCGGCGAAAACCCTTTGCATTTCGAATCGAGCATGAAATCAATTTATTGTTTATTACTTATCGTTGCGTCTCTCCGGTCTCCGATCTTTATTTAGCATTAAACGGCGATTGTCGTTATCCTCGCGTTCGTAACTCAGGATGGTCGTAAATCAGAGATGGAAACCTGGTCGCGGTGTCTCCGATGGTAATAAATGGGAGAGACGGTCGACTGGACGAGAACGCATTGTAGCTTTTCGACGAGCCTCTACGCATCGCCGCCGATGCGGCGTATGAATTTCAAGTGAATTAATGGCACCGGATTATATCTCGTAATCGCGTATCTATCATGCGAACGACGTCGTTTCCCTGTGGACCGCTAACCAATTTCAAACAAAGAGGATTCACCCACGTTCGACTATTAAAACGCAATTACTGATTAATCATTTAGCACTTGCTAAAAGCGTAAAATCGATCGTTGCTGAATGGATTCGCTTTAAAAACAGGCGCGTGAATAAATCTTTTTTATTTTAAAACACATTGCAAAAAATTTGCATGGAAAAAGATCCGTGAAAGATTTTATATAAAATTAGCTAAAATGTAAAAAGTAAAAAATAAAATTACATAATTAATATATCTCATATTAATATGTTCAGTTTTCAAATGAGCTCTCTTTATTCTAATTTGTTTAATCTAATGTACATATATTCCTCATTTTTTTCTTAAAAATGTAAGAGATAAGAGCTTTACGCGAAGAAATCAATATTTTTGCGCACGAGAGATTCATTTAAATTTAAAGGATACAATCATAAACGTGGCGAATAAAAATGTTGCTTGAGAACTCGAAGATCAACTGAAGAATGCAAATCTGTGAATATTTTCAAAAGACACCTTCGTTTCAAATGCGAATCATATAGCAGCACAGAAATAGACGCGAGCTGACGCAAGAAAATATAATTAATAATTTGTAGCAGAATGAGAAAAGTTACAACTCAATACGCTACACTAATCATCTGGCAAATAATGGAATAAACTGTATTTACGTTTGGTCGTAAAGTAGACAAAATAAAAAAGAAATCGCTACAAGTCGTGTTTAAAATAAGTCTGTGTTTTTCTGATTGCCATGCAAGCATGAAACGCCTGCATATTTCCAATTAAATCGTACGACATCGATTACATTCGCTAACGAGAGATTAAATTTAAAGTGCAATAAGGTTTTACAAGCTCGTGCATCGAGATAAAACTTGCTAAATTTTTTATCGCTTCTGAAATTAATCTGCTTAAAAATTACTCGCATTTAACGAACTTTATTAATTCAATTACGTAATAAATCGTTTTAAATATATTAAAATTACCGTTTCCAAAATTAGCATGCGTGTATAAAAATCAGCTGATTTTAGATAAATGCGATTATGACACGCGACACATAGCCTTATTTCTGAATCATTGTTATATTCCTTTAGATAAAACATTTTTTGTCTTTAAATTTTTAATATGAATATATTAACGTTAATTATGTTATTTTCACGAAATTACCTTTCTTTGCGCAAGTGAATAGAATTAAAATGGAAGTTCCGATTTTGCAGAAATGTGTCGAAGTCTCGAGTATCATCTTTTCAACTTCAAAAGAAATATCCAGCGAGAAAATTCTTTTATTCAACGAGTAAATAACCTCTCGCCTCTTCCCCGTCCATTGCGCATTCTGTTATGAATTACAAGGGTCTTCTCATGGAATTCATTCGTCGTCAATGCAGCGATGTCTCCTCTCCCATTCATACGTGTCCAGAATCAATGACGGCGACCGCAACTACGTGACGGGACAACGACCGCGCCTTCTCTTCGCGTAAAAAACAGAATGAAGAAAGAATGAGAGACGCGTTTCGAGGAGAGTTTTGCTTTTCCGGTGGCGGAATGCGCCACTACAATCTTGGAAAGACGCGTGTTCGCAAGAGCTCATTTAGCGTAATTTAATGATAGCTAAAAAAGATTAACGAGCTTGCTCTAACAAAGTGTCCCGTTTGCAATCTCGTTATGCCACACCGGCTCAAATGGCCAATAATGTAATGGTCTCTTAGTGTCGCGGAACATATTACGTGTTCACGAAGAAAGGCGAGACAGTGGTTATATAAAGTAGTTATATAATAGATTTTCCCTTGCTTTTATACAAGATACATACAACGTGTGGGAATGGCTCGAAAAAATATTTACATTACTCGATGCTGAATCTGATATTAACTTTCCTATAACTGTTTTGTCTTTCTTCAAACAAATAAATATAATATTTAAAAAATTTAATTCCGCTATGCATATATGATTAAATTTATTATCATAATTCGCTCTCACGTATAGTGCAATACAACTTGCGAATAAAATCCCTGACTCCACCCTAATCATTAGTATCATAGTCTCGTACTGCAAGTTATAATCGAAATGACCAGTCATCGAATGATCCGACATGACCGTATTCGATTAAGAGTCAAAACTTACGATGGCCTGTTGATCGACCCCATTCGGAGGCGGAGGCGGACTGAAGCTGGCCGCGGTCGGCGCACCAGGGGCGGCAGGATGGGGTGCACCCGCCGCGGGTGGCACCTGGGGCCCGCCAGTCGGGGGTGGTTGCTGGGTTGCACCGGCGCTCTCCTCCTTCACCGGCACTGGCGGCGGTGGTTTAACGTCACCGGCTGCACCAGCCGCCCCCACGACACCCGCGACCCCGTTCACCGGAGGGGGAAAGACACCCCCACCATAGGGCGCAGCCATCCCTGTCTGCACCATGTGCTGCAAAACAATATCATTTCTCATGAGTTTCGATACTCTGCACATGTAACTTTAAAATCTAAGACGTTAATCTTTAAAAACCAAATAATAGGTTTGTTTCTTTTGTGACGAATTTTTCAATTCTCGATATTAGAACTTATAAATATATGCTATAATGATGTTCTAGAAAGAAGCTAAGCTAGAGATGAAACATCGGATTCCTGATTTCTAAAGATTAACATCAATAAATGTGAAATGTGAGTTAAATAGATCGATAAAAGGTCTGAAATACTCAGTATAAAAGCTACTTTTTATAAGCTTACAATAATGTACGCAACGCATCTTAATCGGTTTATATTTTTTATTATTTTTATTAATAAATTACCAGTTTAATTAAATAAATTAATATTGATAAAGTTGTGAATTGCAAATTGACAATTGAGATTACAAATTTTCAATTAAATCTCTCATAATTAAGTTTAAAAATATTTGTTCGATCTCGATTGATCGTGCAATTCTCAATTAGATTAGCGTGTTATTTATGATTTAAAGCAAGTCGAATACGAAGATGAATGGATTACAAGAAATATATTAAACAAATTTTGTCCATTAATTTCCATTAATTTCCATTAATTTCCATTTTATCATTCTTTCGCTTTTCATTCGCAAGACAAGAGATAAACATTTTTATTATCGCACCGGCATTCAGTTCACTTTTTCCGATCCCTCCGAAATCGTTAGAGATGAAGGATAATGGAAGCGAAAATGTCGTTGCCAATTTTTCGTGCGGTGGCGCACTATTCATCGTGACCACGGACGCAATCGTACGAGAGTAGAAAGATTTCTGGCAATGTTCCATCGCGGCAGGTTGCGATTGGTTGAATAATACCTCAAGCGATCTTAAACTAGAAGTTCTCGCTAAAGATAACATTTTTATAAACAAATGTAAATCATTTCGTTTACAACCGAGTGAAACTCCATGACTCTCGGTTCCCTTCTCTTCCATAATATTCACAAACAGAATATCAATCAACAAAGTTAGATATCCCTAGGCATTTGAATAATGTGTATTACGCCACTGTCAACTGCGACTCGATATCAGGTAATAAAGATGTAAATTGGATATGAATCGATTGTTGCTCATCACCCCGTGTATAATTCCGTGTTGAAAATAAATTATATAAAATAGAACTATCTAATAACACGGTTATAAAGTTGTAATTACAAAATATTAATTTCTTATTGATTTACGATTCTTACGCTCTCCTTTTAGGAAAGATTTTTTTTTTTTTTTCATTTATAATAAAAATATTATCAAGTTCTATATCATGTAAAAATACTTTGAATCGTTCTTGAATCTCACGAACGAGTTACGAAACCGATATTCCTCTCGACATCTAAACACATACGAGAACTCATCGATATTCGATGAGATTTTCTGGTTTCGCGACAAGGCCAAAGAGTTTAAGTAAAGGACAGTTTTATAGAATGGAAAAGAGGCGAGGAGGGATTCGCGGGGCAGCGGACGATTTACCATAGACAGTGGAGGGTAACTATAATTTATGGTTCGCCCTCGGGTCGTGCCATCCACAATCTCGCGCGTGGCAGGTTACAGATGGTTTGTCCAGTTCTCCCTTCTTTCTAGATTATTTCTGAACGCCCCTCCCTTCTCCCTTCCCTTCCCTCTCCTCGACGGAAAGATTTCTGGCAATGTTCCATCGCGGCAGGTTGCGATTGGTTGAATAATACCTCAAGCGATCTTAAACTAGAAGTTCTCGCTAAAGATAACATTTTTATACGTAAACAAATGTAAATCATTTTTCGTCTACAACCGAGTGAAACTCCATGACTCTCGGTTCCCTTCTCTTCCATAATATTCACAAACAGAATATCAATCAACAAAGTTAGATATCCCTAGGCATTTGAATAATGTGTATTACGCCACTGTCAACTGCGACTCGATATCAGGTAATAAAGATGTAAATTGGATATGAATCGATTGTTGCTCATCACCCCGTGTATAATTCCGTGTTGAAAATAAATTATATAAAATAGAACTATCTAATAACACGGTTATAAAGTTGTAATTACAAAATATTAATTTCTTATTGATTTACGATTCTTACGCTCTCCTTTTAGGAAAGATTTTTTTTTTTTTTTCATTTATAATAAAAATATTATCATGTTCTATATCATGTAAAAATACTTTGAATCGTTCTTGAATCTCACGAACGAGTTACGAAACCGATATTCCTCTCGACATCTAAACACATACGAGAACTCATCGATATTCGATGAGATTTTCTGGTTTCGCGACAAGGCCAAAGAGTTTAAGTAAAGGACAGTTTTATAGAATGGAAAAGAGGCGAGGAGGGATTCGCGGGGCAGCGGACGATTTACCATAGACAGTGGAGGGTAACTATAATTTATGGTTCGCCCTCGGGTCGTGCCATCCACAATCTCGCGCGTGGCAGGTTACAGATGGTTTGTCCAGTTCTCCCTTCTTTCTAGATTATTTCTGAACGCCCCTCCCTTCTCCCTTTCCTTCCCTCTCCTCGACGTTGCTCCGCCACGGGAGAGCAAAGGGTCGTTTGTTATTTTTACCTCCAACATTTTTCTGAAAACTCGATTTAGACCGGATTTTGCCGATACGAACCGGTCGCGCGCAAACAGAGATGAAACTCCACGAGGAAGAGCTCTGCGTGCTCTTTGTTAAGTCTGAGAAATGAGAGTCCCGGTCTCAGCAATTACGCAAGATCCGACAGCAACAAAGTGCCGTGAGCCAGATGATTTCTTGTGCTTGATTGCGATAGCCTTGGCTGATAAATGTAGCAATCGATATTTATATCAAACGCGGTGATACCAGAATAAAAGTAGTACGATTCTCTCTTTCTCTCTCTCTCTCTCTCTCTATATATATATATATTCGGGTACTGCACAGCTATATATGTAATTGACATACATCCTAATATTTAGAATTCATGAATATAATTCACGATATTGATAAAGATATCGTGTTTATTTTTATCACTTCTAAAGGTTTTTTTTCTGAAAATTAATTTCGCAGGGTTTACAATTTCATTTACAGCTCAAACTATATATACAAAATTTTAATCCAATATCATTCTTTTAAACTCTGTAACGAACAAAATCGATTAATTTTCTAAGATTTAATTACATAAGCGCGAGAGAGAAGCTGTTACGACAAAATTCCAAAAATCTGATCACGATCGGCGATATTAACAAGAGACATTTTACGATGAAGAGCGAACGGAGCGATGGGTTAAAAAGAGAGAAAAAAATCTGGAAGAAAAAGCATATGTTGCTCGAAGAACAATCGATGAAAAGGAATACGTGAAGTATCTCTACATGTAAGAGGAGAGGATAAAGGAGTGGATTCCTTCGCGAAGAACTCTCGCGGCGAATGAGCCGAAACTAACAAGTTTGAACGAGGCCGAGAGGAAGTCGCCTTCGGCTCTTTCCCCACCTTCGTCCGCTCACTATTCCGCGAGCGTAGCTTAATCAACGAAAGGGAGAGGATGGATAAGGAATGGAGAGAGCGCACGGTGGAAAACGTGATCTCCAGGTCGACCTAATTTCCCTTCCCGCTGACGCGGGAAATATGTCCCCGGATCGGTTAGGGAAACTACGCGAATTTTCCTTCTGATCAAAAAGACCTGAGCGAAAACGCATCAATATCTCGATAGGCGATTCCGAGGAAATACGTACTTAAATGCCGACCGTTATATATGCATTTATGCAGAATGAATGACGTCGCGCGATAAGTAGCATCCGCTGGCCCGAATATTCACTTCTCTATAATCAATAATACTTTTTTATTCATGGCAATAGCCGTCAAAAATTCAAATACATCGAATAATTATAATGTGTCGATAAACTCGAGTGAAATCGAATCAAAATCAAATTTAAATCGCATTTATATGCGGAGCTAAACGAAGGTTTTCTTCTGTCGCATATTTGAATAAAATTCGCGTTGAAGTTACACGCGTTTATGACAATCAATTATATTTACGTAAAATAATTATATATAACGTGGCTGAATTTAAAAAGACAAAATTCCTTTCTGTAAATATTATAAAGAGAGATTGTCAAAAAATGTGATCACGTACTTCATGTACTTTGATATCGCAAAAGGACCGTTACTCGCGTATATCTTTCTCGAGATAAAATTCTCAATTCCATTTTAGCAAATGGCTCATTCTCACTCGCTCAACGACAATCTTAACAGTTCTTTGTCGTCTGCTTCCCCTTTCTTATTTGCGCTGGCGAACAGAGTGAGGCTTTCCTCGCATACAAGGGACCATTCAGAGCATGCTTCCCCTTCGGCATCAGCGAAGCGTGTCGCCGCCGCTACATGGCTGGGCCTTACGGCGATCGCGTGCGCGAGACCGGGCATGGCATAATGAAAAAAAATTTTAACGACGCCACGCTAATTCGATCAGCTTCCTCGGGCGTAGAGAATAAATGAAACATTCTCTGAATGGCGGCGCGGGACACTGCACTCGCGTCACTTAATTGAATATTCGGAACGGACGGTTGTTCAGACGATTATGCGAACTGCCAATTCATTTCCCCGTCAGTCGTTGCTATGCTACTTTGACAATCATCATTTAATCTTGTACGATACTGTATATTATTCAACTTGAATTTTATTTAAAAGTGATAAAATTTGGAACTAAGTTTGGATTACATATATATTTGAGAGGTCATAATTATTTATAGAAAATTTACGTAGAGCGGAAGCGATAAAATCACATTTTGAGTCAATTATATTATATATTCAAAATATTTATAAATTTTTAAAATTTTAATTATTTTATCATTAGAGTCCCGTTAATATGTTTTAATTTTATTGCGCTATTTTAATTATTTTTGTTCTTAATTTTTAGAACAATGCTGAAGCAATGTAAAAAATAAATGTAGAGTTTGAGATATTACTATCTTATAAAATAATAAGAATAATTTGATTCAAAGAAAATAAAATTACATTACTCTTGGAC